GAGCGCGCGGCGGGGCCGGGCGGCCGGCGCGGGCTGCGGCCGTGCGGCGAGGAGTTCGCGTGCCCCGAGCTGGAGGCGCTGTTCCGCGGCTACACGCTGCGGCTGGAGCAGGCGGCCACGCTGAAGGCGCTGGCGGTGCTCAGCGGGCTGGCGGGCGCGCTGGCGCTGGCGGAGCTGCTGGGCGCGCCGGGGCCCGCGGCCGGCCTGGCCAGGGGCTCGCACCCCGCGCACTGCGTGCTCTTCCTGGCGCTGCTCGTGGTCACCAACGTGCGCTCGCTGCAGGCGCCGCAGCTGCAGCAGGTCGGCCAGCTGGCGCTGCTGTTCAGCCTCACCTTCGCGCTGCTCTGCTGCCCCTTCGCGCTCGGCGGGCCCGCGGGCACCCACGCCGGCGCGGCTTCGGGGACGGCGGCCGCCGACCACGGCGTCTGGCAGCTCCTTTTGGTCACCTTCGTGTCCTATGCCCTGCTGCCCGTGCGCAGCCTGCTGGCCGTCGGCTTCGGGCTCGTGGTGGCCGCCTCGCACTTGCTGGTCACGGCCACCTTGGTGCCCGCCAAGCGCCCGCGTCTCTGGAGGACGGTAAGTGCCGCTGCGCGCCCTCCGTCGGGTCTGGGACACACACCTGCCCGGGAGAGACCGGGAACACCAGGGGAGCGGGGCGCGCATCTACGGATTGGGCGGGTGGGGAAACTGAGGCCGCGAGTGTGGGGGGCGTTCAAGGTCACTCGCGAGCCGCGGACGCGGTGGGGGCTACTACGGCCGGGCTCTTTTCCGAGTCGCCATCCACAAAGCTCCCCTGGGTGTGGGCTGTGGAGAGGGGAGTGTGGCGAGGGCAAGGATTGGCCCAAGGTCAGGCAGCTGGTGAGCGGCCAAGCCCGGCCAGAGCCCTGGCTGGCGCTCTTTGGCTGCACACATCCCAGAAGAGGGACGGAAAGTGGGCGCGGGATGGGCCCCTGGCGGGCAGGGTTCCTGCTGGCTGTGCACGGCTCTGGGCTCCTCTCCAGTGCGCCTGGACCTCGTGTGGGGCTGGCAGAGTCTCTCTCCCAGCCTGCGGCACCCTGGGGAGGTTGGGAGGGGACGGGGACTTGGGTCTCCTCCAGTCTCCCTGGCGCCCATTGTGGACCCGTTTCTGGTCTAGAAAGACAGGTTTGCCAAGGTCGAACAGGGCTCCAGTCCTTGCCACCGCCGCCCTGCCGGGGTCTGACCAAGGCTGGGAGCGTCGGAACTTTGCCACTGCCTTCCAGGAGGGCCAGCGAGACGGTAGCAGGGGACAAGGACGTTGCCTGCTCCCCACGGGCTCCTCCCCAGCCGGAGACCCAGGAGACTGGAGGCAGGTGTCCTTGCTGTGCGGGGCTCTCCCAGCCTGACCCAGCAGTGAAACCCACCCCACAGAGCAGGGCTTGGAAGGCCCTGAAGGAGGGTTTTGTTTCCGCCTCTGGCAGCATTTTGGCAGGAGGAGGGGGAATCCGATGTGGTGGGCGAGCCCATCTAGGGATAGAATGTGGCAGATGGAGGAGGTGGGGGAGATGGGGGAGATGGGGTGAGCAGGGGGGGCTGCACGGAACAGGCTCTGAGAAGAAGAAGGGGGTGCGGGGAATCCGACTGTGGCCTGGGGGGACCGAGGGCCCCCACGAGGATCCAGGGAAGTGCTCTCAGACGGAGATGTCAGGGATACCCATGGTCAGAGGGATCATGGATGCACAGGGTAGACACTGGAAGTGTATTTTGGGGCCCAGAGAGGCCAGCACGTGCTGGGGGCTAAGAGGGGAGGAGGAAGGAATGGGGGAAGGGGCCTGGAGGTGGGGAGAAGAGAGGGACAAAGTAGGGGGACCGCCAGAAACAGAGGCGAGGGTTAGGCGGAGAAAAGGGAGGAGGGTAGAGGGCTCCCTGCACCCAGGGAGGGGAGGGGGGCTCCGTTCTGGGTGGTTCCCAGCAGGCCCCTGGCTTGTGGCCTTGCCTGCCGTCTGTCCTTAGGCGGTGCTGTTGGACCCTCCCCCCACAACCTTCCCTTCTGTTATGTGTTTGGCCCCCATGGTGTGGGGCCCCCCAGCTGGACCACCTCCCCACCAGACCAGAGGGAGGCCCTGCGGCCAGGTCAGCTCCGGGTGGGGAGGGGAGGTCTGAGATCTGGCGTATGAGGGGTTCGGCTGGTTCAACGAAAGGCGGTGCTATTGTCTTTTTCCGAAACAATTTTGTGTACAGTTTCTGGTCATCCCTTCTAGAGAACTGAGGGAGAGGAAATGGTCTGTAAAGGTCTTGGGCCCAGGGAGCTCTGCTCCAGGATAAGATGAGCCCCTGTACTCCCGGGGGGCAGGGAGCCCATCCTGTAAGCCTGGATTCTTAGGGAGCAGGCGTCTGGCATTTGCTGCTGCTGGCTCCCTGTGCGACACACACCCTTCCCACCCAGGGCCTCAGTTTCCCTACTGCAGAGCTGGCATGCAGGTGGAAAGCCTGTGGGAAAAGCCCTTATTCAGTGTCCTGTCACCTCCAAGTTGCTTTGGCTTCCAAAACGTTCCTGTTCAGATCTACATGTTGCTACTGGTGGCGGCAATGTGGACAGACGGATGGGGTGGGCGCTGACAAACACGGTGAGGGGCCTGTGTGCTGCCCTGGGGCCGGAGTCCGCCATGGGCCTGGAGGCCGGTGGGGAAGGTGGGAGGCTCACGTACCCAGCGGGGCCTCCGCTGCCCGCGGCCCCACGGCCTCCGGCTGCCCTGCAGTGCGGTCACGTGCCTAGAGCCCCATGTTACTCGGGAGTTCGTTTGGGGAAGGACGAGAGGTGGAGGCCCGGAAGGACAGGGCGACGGATGAGTGGAGCAGTCTGTGCAGGGCGGTTGCCTTTGCTGGACCTTCTGGGCGGAGTGTCTGTGCCGTGGGAGGGAGAGAACTGCTTCTGCTCGGGGCACTGAGGCCGGGGGGGTCACACGGGGTCGGGGGTGACTCAGAGTCTCTGCCTCTCCACAGGGAGGCTCTGGGAGGTTCCCGCAGCCATCCTGCCCCGCCCTGGTAGGCCGCGTGCTTTGGGGACCCTGTGGCACCAGACTGGCCCAGGCCAGCAGGCTGAGAGCACCTAGGAGGTTGGTGACCACAGGGTTGGGATTTAGATGCTGCTCGGCTGCCCTTCCCCGGGAGGCGGTGGGACCTGCTGGCTCACGCCGGGCCCGTGCTGCTGCTCTCAGCCAGGGCACAAGGAGTTTGGGGAGACAGTCTCATTCCCCCCCAGCCCAGCGCCCAGGAGTTGCTGCGTAAATATTGACCAGGCTGGGACCTTCTTCCCGCCCGCTCCCTCCTGCCCACGGTTGTATGTACATGCAAAGCACAGAAACTCGTTCTTATTTAACTGAACAATACGTCAGAACTGAAGGCATCATGTTGGGGAACCCTTGAAGTCTGCTCAGGGACAGTGGGGCGGCAAGCCAGGCTGGGCTGGTCTGGAGACCTGGGGTGGGGTAGGGGGACATGGGGGCGGTGAGGAGGAGGAAAGTGGGGAGATGCCACATGTGTGACCCCTGCTCCCCAGTGGTGGCACTGGGGGACTTGAAGAGCACGGCTTGAGGAGGGAGTGACTGTGCTTGGGGACCGGGGACAGAGGGGGGTTGCTGGCAGTGGTAGCAGACAGAATTGTGCATGCCAAGGTCATGGCCTTGGAATGGTGGTGGGTGCAGCGGGGTATTGTCTGGAGAGGAGCAGTGGGCTCAGGTGCCCCCAGGGGAGACCCCCACGGCCCTGCCCCTCACAGCTCTGGGTGTGCGCATCGGCCAGCTCCAGCTTCCTTCCTCCTGGGCGCCCCCCGCCCCCAACGGCCCCAAATGCCCACTTCTTGGCCAGGGTGGGGCAAGATTGCTGTATCTTCCTGGGCTCATCCGGGGCCACTGCTGTGGGCAGAATGGCTGCCTGTCAATGGAAGGGGCATATATTTCCAACTCCCCCCGCCTCACTTCTAAGCCCCAAGCAGGGAAACAGAAGCACCGTCGGGCAAGTGGGTGTCGCAGGAGTCCCCTGTGCCCCTCCGGGTCGTCTGAGCTCTGGGGAGAGCTCGAGTGCTGCTGGCAGGTGGAGCGATGTCACCGCCCTCAGAGCCCAGGTACACAGGCGGCCAGGCCAGGCCGCTCACAGCGCGGCGCCCCCGGGTGTGGGTTGTCTGCTTCCCACCTGGGTTGTGCCCACTCCCTGCGCTCGGGCTCCTCCTCCTCCGAGTCGCCAGCCAGACCTAAGCCCCCCCCCCCCCCCCCCCCCCCCCCCCCCCCCCCCCCCCCCCCCCCGCGCTGGCTTCTCCCCCTGGCTCCTCTAAGTCGCCCTAGCACCGCCTCCCCCGGCTCTTAACCCCACAGGCCGCGCCCCTGCTCCCCTTTCTTCCTGGCGGGACCCTTACCCAGCAGGACCCCTCCTTCAGCTGGACTCCGCCCCTGATGGAACCCCTCTCGGGGGCCTCCTGCCCTTCCTGCCCTCCACCAGGCGGTCAGGCCCTTTACCCAGGCTGGACGCTCTTCCCCGCTGGTACCTCCCACTTCCTCCCCCATCTTGGCTGGGTCCTGTGGCTTTGTTTGCTCACCTGCTGGTGCATCCACCTGCCTCAGATGACCCCGTGTGCTGCTAGGTGGAGGCTGGAAAGGGGAGGGAGACAGGTGGGACCTCCTGGCTCACCCCGGGGCCCTGTGAAGGCGAGGAGGGGGTTTCTCTGCCTTGGTTGGCAGTGACCCCAAAGACAGCCTCCGTGGCCTAGGCTGGATCCCCCTTCCCCAGGCCTCTGGTTGATGGGCAGGGCTCAGCTCTTTCCACCTCAGGCTTTCTGTCCCTCTGCTACTCCCTGAGCAGCAGGTGGTGGTGGGTGTCCCCTCCAGGCCTCCAGGTCTGTGTCCAGTGGGCACTCTGCTGGGACGCCCGATTCCCACCCCTACATCTGCCCAGTCGGTCCCTCGGTTCCCTCCCCATAACCTGGTCTGTTTCCCGGGAGAGTCAGGTAAGCCTCCCTCCAAGCAGCTGGCCCTAACTTGAAGAAGTCCCTGGAATGGGTCAGGACAGGGCAGAGGAATTGGGCTGATGGGAAATGGGGTCTGGACACGGGGACACATCCCGGCTTCAGGCGAGGGCTGGCACCAGCTCAGGGCAGAGTCCTGGGGACTGTTGTCAGCTGCCCCCCAGGTGCCCCCCAAGACCCAGAGACTGCGTGTGGGCTGGAGTCTGGCTCCACTGGTGGACCTGGTGGGGGCGTCTTCTCCGGACGACGCTGTGATCCACACTTGGGGGTTAGGCCCCGGGCTAGGAGTTGGGCACCTGGTGGAAATGAGACCCCCTGCACTCCAGGAATTTACTGTCTGTGGGGGACACTGGTGGACACCTGGGACTGCAGTCTTTGCCAGGCTGGGGGGAGTCCGTGTGACCTCCGGAGGTGTGTGAAGGGGATAGAGCAGACGGAGGACTCCTGGTGGCTTCCTAAGGCCGGTGTGCTCCCGCCAAGACCCTGGACAGAGGAGGCTTGGGGCTCAGCCAGGGAGGTGGGCGTGCAAGAAAGGGTAGGTGCGGGGCACGCGGAGTGTTTCTGTTTCTTTGGAAAACAGCGCCGGGCCCTGTAAGCCTTG